AGGCCGCCATGAGGTCGTCGAAGCGCTTGCGGCACCCGGTAAACGTGACGTGCTCACCGTGAATCTCGCGCATGTGCTCGGTGACCTCTTCCCAGCGTGCTATCGTCTGTCCGAAGGGAGCGTCGTACGGGGCCACGTTGATCACCTCCTTCAAGAGATCGACGTCCGTGGCCACGGAGAAGCGAAACGTCTTCTTCGTCTTGGTAGGCGGCTCGTCGCTCATACGTTTTGCAGGTCAAACTATGAATGGCGCTCGTGTTATCGATATCGGGATAGAGCGGCTGGAGCCTGATTTTTTTGGTCCGGATTTCATGTTTCGGAGCCCTCGGACATGTCACATGGGTAACATAATCAAGATATCATGGTAGCAAAAGCAGTCTATTGAGAAATACTCCACCGAGTTGATGCGAGCTTCCTCCTGATCCTTGGCTTGGATCTCGTCCGCACTGGCCATGATGTGACGGCTGAGAGAAATGGTATCGAGCCACTCGAGCACCTCGGAAGACTGGAGAAATGGCTCGGAGAACGCCGTCGCTGCTCGAGGAACTATACAACGTCGTCGGGCTGTTACTAGATATTAATCTTGGCGAGGCCACGAACCGACGACGACTTACCATGTTTGAGATTATGCGGACAATTGATAGTCCCGTATCCGGATGGCTCGAATAGCAAGTCGCAACAACACGTCCACATGTTGCCACTTGACACCGCAAACACAGACACCATTCGAGAGTGGATAGTGGCGCAATGGAGAGAACATCAGCTCGGTTATCAACTCGGTTATCAACTCGGTTATCAACAGACCAGGTTTGGATTTGGCAAGCTCCTTTGTCATTTTTAATTTTCCGAGCAAGATCAGCACGATGGCGGGCGGATCTCAAAGTGTCGTGATCGGCATCGATCTCGGAACGACAACGTGCAGTGTCGGTGTCTGGCGCCACGGCCAAGTCGAGATGGTTCGCAACGACAACGGCAACTTGTCGACGCCGTCGTGCGTCGCCTTTACCGACGCTGGTCGTCTCGTTGGCGACTTTGCCAAGAGCCAAGCGCCCCGAAACGCACCCAATACGGTCTTCAACATTATGCGCATCATTGGCCGTCGCTACGACGAGGTGCGCAAGAAGACCCAGGTTGTGTGCGGTCCCAAGAACAACCCGATGATCCGCGTCGTCGAGAAGGGCGAAACCAAGGAGCTCCATCCCGAAGAGATCTTGGCCGAGCTTGTCGTCAAGCTGAAGGACGACGTTGTGACGTACACGAACGCGCGCATCGAGCATGCGGTTGTCACGGTACCCACCGGCTTCAATTTGCTCCAGCGCCAGGCGGTCCGAGATGCATGTGCCATCGCTGGCCTCGCGAAGTACCGCATCAGCGACGCGCCAACCACCGCTGCCGTCGCGCACACGTCCATCAAGGGTGCACCCCGTTGCGAGGTGCATGACATGGTCGTCGACATGGGTGGGGGCCATCTTAGCGTCTCGCTGCTGGCGATTGAAGATGGAATCTTCGAAGTCAAGGCTGTGGCAGGGGACGCCTGCCTCGGTGGTGAGGATTTTGATGACGTTTTGTTCGACCACTTTGCGGCCGAGTTTGCGCGCCAATACCGGAAAGACATGACAACGTGCGATCGCGCAGTGCGTCGCCTTCGCACGGCGTGCGAAAAGGCCAAACGCGACCTCTCCATTTCCAACACGGCGACGCTCGAGCTTGAGGTGCTCTTTGGCAGCATCGACTTCCGTTCGAGCATCACCCGCGCGCGATTCGAAGACTTGTGCTCTGGGCTCTTTCGCAAAGTGACGCAGCCCATCGAGAAGGTCCTTCGCGACGCCAAGATCGACAAAAGTCAAGTGCGCGATGTTGTGCTCGCTGGTGGCTCGATGCGCATGCCCAAAATGCAACAATTGCTCTCATCATTTTTTGGCGAACGCTACGCAGACAAGAAGCTCTGCCACTCGATCCTCAACAACAACGAAGCTGCCGCTCATGGCGCCACGGTCATGGCAGCGTTGAACGACGAAACGTCGCCTGACGACATGCACCTTCTCGTCCTCCACGTCGTGCCCTACTCTGTCGGGATTGAAACCGGCGGTGGTGTCATGACAACACTGATCTCGCGCAACACGACCATACCATCCAAGAAGTCCGAGAAGTTTAAAATTTCCCAGCCACAGAGTCCGCCGTACCACCCGACGCCATTCAGCTATCGTGACGAATGCACCTGCGACGACTCGGACGACTCGAACGACGAATGCACTTGCAATGACTCGGACGACTTGGATGACAACTGCTGCTGCACTCACTATTGCGAAGAGCACTGCAAGGAGTATTGCGGCAGTGAATGCGACCACGGCGGCCACAACGACATTGACTACTCTTCCTACCCGCGCTACGAGCCGAAAAGGCCGTTCATTGACGCCAGAGACAACGCGATCAAGATCTTTACGGGTGAGCGATCCATGGTACGCGACAACACGCCTCTCCACACGATTGCAATCCACGGCTTTTACGATCCGACAGCGAGAAGCGACGTCGCGTTCGACATCGATGGGGACGGTCTATTGACCGCCATCGTCACGTACACACCACATATCGGAACAAACGAAACGATCGTCGTCAAGTTGGACAAGGGATACCTCTCGCAGCACGACGTCAAGCGGTTGACGACAAACTTTGAGGCTGCTGCAGACGACCGAACCCGTCGCCGAGTAGCCCACGAGGAGCTTCAGACGTACTTGATCGGAGGCAAATACCCGTACTGGCGGGCTGCGGACGCTGCTGAGGTGCTCGAGTGGCTCGATACCATTTCTCTCGGCCGTCACATCAAGGCCAGTGTATGCGAGATCCAAGCCAAGTATCGGATCTTCCTCGGTCCTGCAATCGAAGACGTCGACTAAATTGCTCCGATCCGGCTTGTTGCACTTCAACGTCCACGTGCGCTGAAAGTCGACCGTGTGTGTGAAACGTAAAAAACATTTAATTAGTCTATCATCAACTGCTTTGGCAAATGTGTTGACGCATCGCTACAGCTCAAACGTATCCTTGCGTTTGTGTTAGCTTCGTGTGAACATTGCCATCTGTGGAGTCAAGGTCAAGTAGTCGTTATCGTCCGGTAAAACTTGCAGATTCTACGGAATTCCAGTACTTTCGGTAGGGTTCCTGTGCGACAGCTCTCGTCAAAATCGCATCTACATGGTGCAAATGGCTATTGAGCTTCACATTGACTCTAATGCTTCGCTACAACGAGATGCCAGTCGAATGCAGCGTCAACTCGCAGCTCGGCCATACGTTGCGCTGGCACCACTCGATGGTGACGCCCCGTTTTTGCGAACGTCTGAAGCTCCTCGTGGGCTACTCGGCGACGGGTTCGGTCGTTTGCAGCAGCCTCAAAGTTTGTCGTCAACCGCATGACGTCGTGCTGCGAGAGGTATCCCTTGTCCAGCTTGACGACGATCGTTTCTTTTGTTCCGATATGTGGTGTGTACGTGACGATGGCGGCCAAAAGACCGTTCCCATCGATGTGGAACGTGACGTCGCTTCTCGCTGTCGGATCGTAAAAGCCGTGGATTGCAATCGTGTGGAGAGGCGTGTTGTCGCGTACCATGGATCGCTCACCCGTAAAGGTTTATGATCGCGTTGTCTCTGGCGTCAATGAACTGCCTTTTCGGCTCGTTGACCGGTTTGGAATGATTGTTGTCACCGCGGGCATGGTCGCCGCCACACTACTCCTTGCAGTGCTTTTCGCAATAGCAACTGCAGCAGCAGTCACCGTTCGAGTCGTTGTAGGTGCATTCGTCGGACGACTCGGACTTCTTGATTGGTATGGTGGTGTTGCGTATGTCGACCTCGAAGACGTCTTTGTGCCTTGTCCTAGGATTTCGCACGCGATGCTACGCACCTTGCACATCGAAGCCGTCAGCCTGTGCGATGCGAGTGTGGCTTGACTTTGCCACGCGGTCGGCGCAGCTCGAGTCGGTCGCATGGAACAGCTGCGAGTACTTTGGTGAACACAAGAAGTGCGCTCCACGGGTCCTTCGCGCCTGCATTCTCGCGGGTGTCCCCAGCGTCCGGTAAAAGACTGCGAGATCAACACCCGCGGCGTCTCCGCGTTGGCCAAGAGCTTGCACAAGACCCATGCCCGTGTTGGCTTCCAGCTCGACCTCTCCAACAATCCGTTTCGCCTCAGTGGCGTCCGTGTACTGCTCACAGCGATCGCGACGTGTACCAATGAGACAATCAAGCTGCCACTCGAGTGTCAAGAGTCAGTGGAGAGCAGTACGCCGCATATCAAGAAAGTGAGAGCCGCCGGCGTCACCATCGACGTGTTGGATCGTGACATTTACATTCGCAGCCGCACCTTGGCGTAAGCGTCGACGCGTTTTGATTCCTCGTCTTCGGTTCAAAACCACACCTCCTCTTCGATATAAGTAGGATCGACAAATAGGGAAAATGAAGTGCATATGACTGCTGAATGTTTCCTCGGCTGTTGTCGCATCGAGATCACCGACAGGACTGCAAGGCCAGAGGACCTTGCCGGTCCACTCAATTGTGACGCCGGACGCCCTCGCTTTCGACAGCTGCACGTCCAAATCCACTACGAAAAGAACTGTATCGGAGAAGAGCCGCATCGAGACATTAATGCACGTCCCAAGCGCCTTGAGAAGCGCTCGCATGCCACCAAGCAACATCCGATTGCTCCCAAGGTCAAACTCGACGCCGTGTCGAGATCGAATGTAGCGAAACCCGTTGGCTAGCGCTATCGTGCTTTGCAAGTTAAACCCGCAGCCATTTAAGCTAATGAAGCGCGCACCGGTCTTGACGCAGCACTGAATCGCCCGTCGAGTGCAATCCACATTGGCGCCGAGGAAGGTGCAAAACTTCCATTCAACACGGTCGAGGGTCGTAACGCGACCGAGGTAGCTCAGGATGGCGTCAAAGCCCGCATTCGTTAAGTTGACGCTCCGAAACAAAACGTGGCAAATCGTCAAGAGCGGTAGGTCGTCATCGGGGGTGGTCGGCCCCTCACGAAGCACGGGATCGCCACACAAAACGAACTGAAGGCGAAGCTCGAAGAGGTTTGGTGTGTAAGGCGGCATCTGCGCAAGGTAGCCCATTTCGACGCGTTTGAGAGACGCCGCATTCGTCTCAGGTATCTTCAACGATGGTCTCCAAGAATCGATGATGTCCATGTAATATATTCTCACAGGAGGTGGTTTTTGGGTGGCGGAGCTTTGCTCGCACTTGGTCATTTGACGCCCCCTTTCCACCTGCCTTGCATGCTTTTGCGCTGCTAAGCTCGTGTTGTGTTCTCGCCTGGGTTGAGCCTTGCGCAGTGCTACTGCTAAGTCTCTTAGCGTTGAGTGTGCCAGTAATCGATTCGAAGCCTTTGCATGGTCGATAAAGGGGGCAGCGGGACAAGCGCTGCGACAGCGGGTTCTGGCGTGAACGACCGAATGGCGAGATCGGTGATGTGCGTCCACGTAACGCCGTTAGCGACGAGGCGGTTGAGAAGACCCTCCGAATTCATATAACCCAGGTTGGAAAGAGACGGTGACGTCGCCAGCGCTTGCGCCAATACAGCGTCCGTTGCAGCGCCAAACTCATCCAGGGTTAAAGTGCCGGCTACGCCTGACGCGAGCCATGACAGTAGCACCTGTGGACACGCACGATAAGCTGCCGCCACGTCTTTCGGCAGGTTGATATCGAGGCTTGACACGCTGTGTGCGGCGTCGTTATCGCCGTCAAGATGTTCTCCGTCAAGATATTCGCCGTCAAGATGTTCTCGTTGAGCGAAAAATCCACGCTTTTGAGGTGTGTGCAATGACGCAGCATATCACAGAATGCGACCCGGTGCTCTTCGAGGTCGAATGCTGGAATGCTCACATCCCGAAACTCGAATGCCCACGTGGCGACAAACGCGCAAAATCGGCAAACGGATGTCAGAATGTTCAGGCCAGCGCTGGCTCAAGTTCAATTCGCGAAAGAACGCGCGGGGAACGATGGGCATGGCAGTGACGATACGGTCGCCTTCACAGTCCGTTGTCATGGAGAGGTTTATCGCAGGCCAGTAGAGGTTCGGCTTTGCGTCGGGTGCTGTCATGCGCTCACGTAGCGCGAAGAGCTCGGGGTGAGGACCGCGGTTGCCATTGCTTGGAGGAACGAAGAGACGTCGTAGGGCGACGAGGTGCACTGGACAACGAGATCGGGGACACCTGCGTCTGTCTAGCACCGACGCTGTCGCGAGACGTTGTCGCTACACCACCATTCCACGTCACTTTGCGATAGCAAATTAAGACCATGAAAGTGCAAACGTAGATCCACCAATCATCTTGCGAGGGCGTGCTTCTTCAAAGTGCCACGTCATAGGAATGGTCCAGCATACCGGTTGCGATGGGATGGTGGGGCCAAGCCAAGGGAATAAAGCATTTGGATGTCGCTCACTGGTGAGGTTTTCGCTTACGTGTACGTCCTGGTGCTCCTGCCATAATATCCGAATAGTCCAACACAAATTACTAAAGTACCGGTATGGCGGTGAGCAGCTCTTTCCATATTCGGCACAAATGGCAATCAAAATGAATGAAACAGATCCATTGTTCATGATTGCTTACACAATAATGCAGATTGCATCTCAAAATGCTTAGTACTTGACAGCGTCGATCCACTGGTTGGTGTTGGCGTTGTGGCACTCCCACACCTGCGCCGCGTGGCTCGGGTTGGTCGGGTCCACGTCCAAGCACAAGTTGTTGTGCGTCGCATGCTTGATCTTGTGGTTGGCCGCGTCGATGATCCACTTTTGGTTGCCGTTGGTGGCGTCGCAGGCGTACGTGTGCAAGCCGAACTTGTCGCCGTCACGGAAGGCGTCGAGGCACTGACCGTTGCTAGCTGCCTGGAGCGTCTTGGCGTTGCTGTCATACACAAAGAGCTCGTTGACCGAGTCCGAGACCCAGTCGGCGTAGACGCCCGAGTAGAACTCGGAGATGACCTTGTTGGTCTTGGTGATGAGCTTGACGTAGCTCTTCTCCTTGACGTTGTCGCACGCGTCAAAGTACTGGCTCACGGCACCGGGCGAGCACGGGGCGACGCTGGGGCCGGCGCCGAGCTTGGCGGCGTTCGACGTCAGGCAAAAGCCAGACGCCGGGTGGACGATGCGCTTGGCGTCTCAGTCAAACTTCCAGATCTGCGTCTCGTCGCCCTTGCACTTGGTGAGCGTCGCCGTGTTGGTGTTGGTGGCATCCTTGGTGAGAGCAAGGCAGTACGAGTCCTCCTTTGGGGGCGCGTACGCTGCAATAACGTTGCTGACGCGGTCAATCGTGAAGCCTTCGTTCTTGTTGCCCTTGATCGTGTCGATGTACAAGCCCTGGTTCCACTCCGAGAGCGCTGTCTTCTTGTACGTGCAGAAGTTCGTTTCAATCGGCGCTGGCGGCGTCGTCCGGGGCACCGGCGTCGGGGTCGCGACCGACGCAAACTTGCCACCGTCAAGGATCTTGGCAACGTTGACGCGGCCGTAGCCGTACCGGTTGTTGGGCCACTTGGTGTCGTCGACACCGCCGCAGTTCGGTGCACCGGGGTAAACATCCGTGCCGTTGGACGTCGCATTGGGGACGAGCCACTCCTTGGGCTCGCCCTCGAGCGCCCGGTCAGCCGTCTGCGTCAAGTAGGCGTAGATTTCGTCGTACGTCAGGTCGCGCTTGATCGACTTGAGGAGCGCGACGACACCAGCAACGTGCGGCGCCGCCATCGAGGTACCGGCGAGATACGCGAGCCCCGTGTCGCTGTGGTTGTAAGCCGAGAGCGTAAAGAAGCCGGGGCCGAGATCGTCGGCTTGACGATCGTCTGCGGCACGTTGTGCGCGTCGATGTACTTGCCAGGGCCCTTGGACGAGAAGAACGCGAGCTTGTTGGGCTCGTTCGAGTACGAGCCGATGGCGCCAACCGAAATGACATTCGGGTACGTCCCCGGGCTACCCGTCGTCCCGCAAGCCGGACCTTCGTTGCCGTTGGCGAAGATGGGCGTGATGCCGGCCTTGCGGATCGACGCGATCGCTTCTTCGTACACCGGGTGAAAGGTCTTGCCGCCCACGAATTGTTGATGACGTCAGCGCCCTTGGAGCAGTCGGGGTGCGTGCCGTCCGTGCGCGTTGGGCAGATCATAAACTGAAGGCACTCGAGGAGCGCCTTCGCCGACCCGCTCTTGACGTAGAGACCACGGCATGCGATCCACTGCGCGCCGGGCGCGACACCGTAGCCGCGGTTGCCCGTCATGGTGCCGATGGTGTGGGTGCCGTGGCCGCCGAGATCTTCGGGCACCGCCGTGCGGTTGTACGGGTCGTACCAGCCGCGGTCAGAACGCCACGAGTCCTTCAGCAGCAAATGCGTGTGGCGGGCGCCCGTGTCGATCGAGCCAATGACAATACCCGAGCCGTTGGTGTACTTCCAGATGGCGGGCGCACCAACCGTGTCGACACCCCACTGGTTGGGTGACGCAGCAGGAGCGGTGATGGTGTCCGTGTTGGACTTGGAGAGCACCGGATCGAGCTCCATATCGGGCACTTGCTCGACCGACTTGATCGCACGGTTGAGCGTCAGCTTCTCGATGAGCGCCTTGTCGGCGGCCTTGATGAACGCACCCGAAACGATCCACGTCGGCGTCACTTCGAACCCGGCGGTCGCCGCTTCGATGCTCTTCTGTCCCGTCGCCGTGGCGTCCGAGAGGATCTCAAACACCTCCTGGCGCTCCAACGGCTTGTTGGACTCGATCGTCGCGGCCTCGAGCGCCGACGACGCGTCCGCGAACCGAACAAAGACATCAGCGTTGCCATCGACTTCGAGCGCACGGAGCACGGAGCTGGCGACCTTGGCTGACGCCGCCGCCGCCATCGTCGAGAGGATGAGGAAGGCCTTCATGGGATTTGACACGATTGGAGTCGACGGTGGCAAATTTGAAAATGAACCAAGTGAGGCGCGTTGCCTAGGAATGTTGGATACCTTGAAGCTACGATCGAGATCTTGCCAAGCCGCGAGTGGGTGTAGGGCAAAGCTGTTGAGACGTGACCAAAACATGTGAAACGACAGGCTAATAATCACGCTCGTAAATCAGAACATGATGGAAACGGTTGTCAGGTGACGTGATGCAAACAATATCGATTCAACCGAACGGCTTTGGTTAGCGAAAAAGTTTAGCAACTTACATCAGCGATATAAATATGATACGTTATTCTACGGCAAGTGACGCAATGTGGAGTATTTGATGTTATCGTCTGCAAAGGCCTGGCATGTCGGACGAAAATGGATTACGTTGCCTGGACCCTTCTTAGAAGCGCATGATCGTGCACTTGTGCACCGGTACCAAATGATACCTGTTTGCACGAGCAAATCAGATCCATGGCGGGACATTTGCATCCATTCTCAGATATCCAGGGTGCGATCTTGACGCCCAATCACCAAAATCAGACGCAACGCATCACTCACGAGCGGCATATGATGTATAACGGGCATCAAATATATATGTATCCTAAATCTCCCACCCGTCAGAAGGTGGTTCAGGTAACAGTCACAAGCAAGCGTCTGCGAAAGAATCTGATATTCCTAGCTAAAGACAAAAGCCGGTGCATTAATGACCTAGAAGCGTCGTACAGCCAGTAATTGGTCTGTACTCCGTCGCCGTGACTTGCTCGTCATTGTAGTCGTACGAAAGTCCGATTCATGACACTAGCATGTTGATTTTGTTGATTGTGACAAAAGGGGAACTATATGCCACCGACGCGAGCGAGCTCCATTCGCCGGAGTTGTAGTACAATACAAGGTGTTGTTGTTGAAGTGAGTCTATTTAGATATAATTTACACTGAACTGGATAGGGTGGTGGACTATCGATTCCAAGGTGCTACGACGAGCCGGCCGCCGAGAGGCTTAGCCGAGCGGGAGACGTGGCGTGTATACGGCACATGCCGGAACAAACTAGTTCAATACAAGGTGTTATTGCGCACCACCTCATCTGAGAAATGAACTGTCCTTGGCGCCGTCATCCAAGGCAGTCGATTCTGTGTGTTGACGGGCCCCACGCCAGAAAACCGCTCACAATGCTAGCAATCTAAGTACCCACTGCGCAAAAGAGGCAGACAGCCTTTTCGTGTTGCGTGTGTCCATTCCTACATGTATCCATGGGATCCCACGCCTTGCAAACTCAGATCGGTGGTGCATGTCTCGACCTCAACATCTGCAACAACACATCTGTTGCACCAAACACAGCCAGGACCGGTCGAAATCCCGCCCACAACTTGGGCATTCTACAATTTGCTTTGTCCAGCGCAAGTTGACCATGAAGATTTTCGCGCTAGCGTCCGTGCTGGCGCCAGTGTACGCCAAGATTACGAGCTCGGCGCTGCGTGCGATCGAGCAAGACGCTACGTTCACGGCCTTCGTCACGTTCAAGGCATCACCCGCCGCTGAGACGGAGAGCGCTGCGGTGACGGGGCTAGAGCGTCGCCAAGCTCTTTTCGAGGAGGCGTCCGCAGTGGCTGACAGCCGCAAGCAGACGCTGTCCGAGATCGTTGGCGACCGCAAGGTCAAGGCGTTCTGGATCACAAATGCGGCCACGGTCGAGAAGGTCGACCGCGCGCTCGCCGACAAGATCGCCAAGCTCGACAACGTTCTCAAGGTCGACGTCGTCAAGACGATCAAGCTCAGCCCGGTCCTGAAGAAGGACAGCATGGAGAACTCGACCATTGCCAACTCGACCATTGCCAACTCGCGTCCCACGGGCATTCAGTGGGGCGTGAAGACAATCGGGGCCACCGACGTGTGGAAGACGACCAAGGGCGAAGGCATCGTCGTTGGCTCGATCGATACGGGCGTCCGCCATACCCACGAAGCCATCAAGTCCAAGTGGCGCCAGGCCAAGGGGTGGTACGACCCGTACCTCCAGACCGCGCTCCCCGAAGACATCGATGGCCACGGCACCCACACGATCGGCACGATGGTCGGCGACTACGGCATTGGTGTTGCCCCCGGTGCCCAGTTCATTGCTTGCCGCGGCTTGTATGTGGGCGGCGGTACAAACGCGGCCTTGATCGAGTGCGCCGAGTTCATGATGTGCCCGACCGAGGCGGACGGGTCGCGCCCCGACTGCAAGAAGGGCGCCAACGTCGTCAACAACTCGTGGGGCAGCGACTCGAGCTCGGATCCGTGGTACCAGGACATCGTCGACGCGTGGCACAAGGCGGGTATTACGCCCATCTTTGCCAACGGCAACGAAGGCCCTGCCTGCGCGACGGCCGGCAACCCGGGCAGCTACCCCAACGTCATCGCAGTCGGTGCGATTGGCTCGCGCACGGACGACCCGACGCAGCTCGCGTACTTTTCGTCCAAGGGCCCGGCCAAGTACGTCGACCGCTTGAACCAGGTGCACACGATCGTCAAGCCCGACGTCTCGGCGCCCGGCTTCTTCACGTACTCGGCCGTCAACTCGAGCGACACGTTCTACGACTACAAGGCGGGCACGTCGATGGCGGCGCCGCACGTCGCCGGTGTCGTTGCTTTGCTCAAGTCGGTGCAGAAGGACTTGACGTACGACGAGATCTACCACTTCCTCACGACGACGACGGAGCAGGCGATCTTGCAGGCCGAGCCGGAGAAGTGGCTTCTCACGCGCAACCGCACGCTCCCCGGTGCACCCAACTGCGGCGGTGTCTCGGACGCGTCGTGGCCC